CCCTTGGACAGAAAATCACTTAAATAATTTCCGCACTTTTTCGTTGTGTTTGAAGATATTGACTTGATATTTGTTATATACAATGTAGTTTAAAGATCAAGTTTTTAACTGGTAGGGGACTATTATATTGCCATGCAATACTCACAGAATGCTTGTTATTTCTGTTGTTTGAAAGCTGTATGAGAAAATATTTTTTGTAATGTCTTGATAGATTCTCTTTTTAGCTCATCTGGCCCAAAGGGCCAAGTGAGCTTTTCTCATCACTTGGCGTCCGTCGTCCGTAGCGTCGTCGTCCGTCGTCGTCTGTTAACTTTTACAAAGATCTTCTCCTCTATAACTACTGGGCCAAATTCAACTAAACTTGGCCACAATCATTATTGGGATATCTAGTTTAAAAAATGTGTTCAATGACCCAGCTCGTCTACCAAGATGGCCGCCATGTCTAAAAAAAAGGTTCATCAGGTCAAGATCTATTTGTCCTGAAATTTTAGACGTATCAGACAACCCGTTGTTGGGTTGCTGCCCCTGAATTAGTAATTTTAAGGAAATTTTGCAGTTTTTGGTTGTTATCTTGAAAACTATTATAGATAGAGATAAACTTTAAACAGCAATAATGTTCAGCAAAGTAATATCTACAAATAAGTCATATGACCAAAATGATCAATTGACCCATCAAGGAGTTATTGCCCGTTAAAGTTAGTTTTTAATAAATTTTTGCAAATTTTTGTAATCTTACAAAAATCTTCTCCTCTGAAACTACTGAGACAAATACAATCAAACTTAGTTACAATCATCATTAGGGTATGTAGTTTAAAAAATATGTCCGATGATCCCGCCTGCCAACCAACATGGCCGACATGGCCAAAAAGAGAACAGAGGGGTAAAATGCAGTTTCTGGCTTATATCGCTGAAACTAAAGCATTTAGAGCAAATTGGACAATGGGTAAAATATGTTAATCAGGTTAAGATCTATCTGTCCTGAAATTTTTAGATGAAACAAACTGTTGTTTGGTTGCTGCCCCTGAATTGGTAATTTTACTGAAATTTTGCAGTTTTTGGTTATTATCTTGAATATTATTATAGATAGAAATAAACTGTAAACAGCAATAATGTTTAGCAAAGTAAGATCTACAAATAGGTCAAAATGACCAAAATGGTCAATTGACCCTATAAGGAATTATTGCCCTTTAAAGTAAATTTTTAACTATTTTTCATAAATTTTTGGTAATTTTTTACAAAAGTCTTCTGAAACTAAAGCAAAAGTATAACAGTTGCATAATTTCATGTATCAATTGTTTATAAAGATATCAAGTGAGCAACACAGGCTCCTTGGAGCCTCTAGTTTTGTTTTGTTACATTACTGATTTTTTATTCAATTTAATTATTATGACAAAATGAATACTTTAATTAACAGATTAATTAAAGGGGTACTAGCTACGAGATTTCATAAAAAATCTAAAGTATGATTTTTTGTTCAATCATTAATGAAAGAGAAAAAGTAAAATAATTATTCGCTTTTTGCAGCCAGTATAGTTCAATTTTGTCATGAAATTGCCTCCGTTGAAAGTTTGCAAACATCCCATGAGCAAATAACATGGATGATTAATATTGACCATTTGGTATATGACCGTGTTCTAAGCGACACGTACATTCAGGTCATAAATTAATTTGTTGAATGAAATCAAATCTTCAGCTACTAATTGTTGCCGTAGGAGGTCCACCGGAATTTTTAGCGAGGATTACCTGGCATGGGAGAAAGGAAGAAAGACCATTCACAAGTTGACTTACATTTTTTTTCTCTGTTCTAATTAGATAGAAAAAAAAATAAACCTTTCAAATGTAGAGTTCATCAGATAAAAAGTTTCCCTGAGGAACACCCCCCTTTTTTTGTGCTCTCAATTTTCAACCCTCGAATTAAGCTTTTCGGGCTAATTTGAATTAAAACCTTGCTTTCTAACCGATCTATTAATGTGACGGACCGGCAACTTTCTTTTTTAATAAGAAAGTCTACAGTGCCGTTATACACATGCATGTTGTCTGCTTGGCGTCCCCGCCCGAAATGTAAAAAATGGCCGAACTCCAAGATACTAAATTCCTGCATCACGTGATTTTTGCCACGTTGAGCTTACATAAGAATAAATACCGAATATGGAAAGTGAAACTACAATTCAAAACACAGAGTCTAAAGGCGGGCGCATAGAAGAAAAAGAAGGTTTTTTTTTGGCAAAGGGTGCCGGGGCAATCTTCTCTGTGTTCAAAATATACATGAAATATTTGCCACTACCCCTTGTCTGTTCTATAAATTCTAACCCTGAGTTTTCGATCTGTTACTTGAAAGATTTTAATAAATGGGTAATGTGTCCATGGGACATAGATGATGCCCCCGCTTGCATATCATATAAATTTATTAAATGACATAACTGAGGAACAGTAAAAGTGATACTTCCTAAATTTGTACTTAATCCGAGTTTTGTGGTAATATGAATTGTGTAAAAGTTACATAACATTTGGTTTAGGTAATTTAAACTCAAGTTAAAGAATGAAAACAAAAAAATCACATTTTTTTTCATTTGTAAAGGGGCATAGCTCTAAAATAGGTAGAATGACGCCACTAAAATTCAAACTTGATCGAGGTTTTGTTGTATTTAGCATTGTGTATAAGTTTCATAACATTTGTTTGAGGCAAACTAAAGTAAGAGAACGGAAACGAAAAAATCAGCAATTCTTCCAATTGTAAAGGGGCAAAACTCTAGATCGGTTAAAGTGACGCCACAAACATTCTAACTTGATCTGTGTTTTGTGGTAATTAGCATTGTGTTTAAGTTTCTTAACATTTGGTTGAGGCAAACTTAAGTTAGAGAATGGAAACCAACTTCGGGACGTACGGACGGACGGACGTACAGACGGACAAGGGTAAAAAAAAAAAACTGAATGCCCCCTCCAATAAAATAAAGCTAATTTAACCTACACTTATGTTATGCATCAATAATAAATTAATAAAGATAAGTTAAAATTTGTATCCACGTAATACAATATTTGTTTTATTATGTTTTGCGAATTCAGTATTATGCCGAAATGAGTTTTCTTCCTACATTTATAGCATATTTGGCACAATAGTTTGAAATTTTCAGTTTTTAATGCTCTTAGAATTCGAATTTGTTTTGGTCTTAGAACTGTTTTGATTTTAGTGTCGATCGTCACTAATGAGTTTTCCGGAGCACCTACGATCACCCCCAGTTTTTGGTGTGGTTCGTGTTGATTAGTCTTTAGTTTTCTATCTTGTGTTTTGTGTACTATTATTTGTCTGCTGGTCTTTTTCTTTTTTAGCCAAATTAATTTCCACAACAGAACAAAAGTTGCAAAAATTAACAACCTAACGCGAAATTTTACGTATAACATTGGAGAAGAAACGGGACATTCTTAAGCAACTTGACAGTAACATTTTAGAGGTGACTACTGTGAAAAATATGAAAGTTGTGATAGAAGACGAAAATCGGTAGGTTTTAGATTATTAAAAGTACATAATACACCCATATTTTAATATCAACTACTAAACAAGCAATTGTTCTGAGATGCGTATCAATGATAAATACATGTCAAACAAACATGAACAAACATACAAAAGTTTGCGTATTTTCAAAATCAAATTCAAGACCTAGCCGCACAATGTATAGCCGGAATACCACCTGCAATTACTATCAAGACGTAGTAATACTAAGAGAGAGGTTTGACACGAAGTACAAAACACAAGCGCATAGATTCAAAATGTAATTTATTTACCTGGGCTGAGGTCAAACACACACAGCTCGAACAACTTTTCAGACAGACTAGAGTGTGGCATGATAGGTTTACAATCGACAAAGGATAGTTCATTTGGAACCATTCGTTCGCCCATAATATACAAAACATTGCCGATGTTAAATAGAACATACACAAAGACCAGTGGAATGAAGAGTCGGATACCGAATCACTGAGGGTAGTACTGATGAGGAAAGTATAAGTACAGGAGGAAGGACAAACTATAGTGTCGGAGTCGTCGTTTCCATGGTCTTGGGGTGTGTTTTATCTTACATCAAACATTTTATCGATCGCTTTGATTGCAATTCTACGAAACGTAAAACAATCGATCATAAAGAAAAAAAAAACCAACCATAGACAGATATGGTAGTTTATAATATAAGTGATTGCTTACCGTCCAGTGACAAATAGTTCTGGTGTTATTAGGTGGCGAACAAATTATAAACTTAGGTTTTACAAATTTGAGCCTTTATTTATTCTTTTGTAAACATTTTTTGTGACTAACATTCACTGCGTGAAATAAATAGTATGTATCTTTTGAAATATCATTTGTAATATTTATTACCATCTCTGAAATCTTAAGAGGTCTCTATTGTAGATTTTATTTTATTTTATCTTATTCTGGGTACCTTTTTTAATCCCCGGGCGCTGAACCCAAAAAGCTCTGTATCCATTGGATGGCGGTTTTAGATTTCTTAGTCTTCGAACTCTATAAAAAAACAAATGTTTTTATTCCAGTCCCTCATGTTTCCGTAGACATTATTGACGATATATAAGCGCTTCATGTTTTGTTCACGATTTGCCGAGTTCAAAATAGGATACATTTGAGCGGAGTAAATAAGCGGAGACGTTTGGAGTAGGAAGGTAAGAAATCTTTTTGGCCTCAAAAAATAGCATTTAAAAAAATTGTTAAAAATATAAATTGTAAGTTATCAATTGGAAAGAAGAAAAGTTTTGTTACATACAAATGGACTGTGATTTGGACAATACAATGCACATGCATCAGGTACTAGCATCATTAATCAACTGGCGGACATTTTTAAGGGGATTGACACATTTAAGAATGTTACATATATATGATCAAATATGCACATACTGTATTTAAATTCAATTATCATAATAACTAATGGATGCAGACTACTGAATCCATGTATTATTTCATTTGTTGTAATATTGACTATGAATCAATTGAATCAAACGGATCATGTGAGATTTTGTTTAATCTATTTTGCATGTTTGAAAATTATCATTGATATAAGTCCATTCATTCTTGGCGCCATGATTGTCGTTGTGTATTTAGTTATACAATAAGGTACAACAAGAGTTTATAAAATGCAAGTCCTAACCCCAAGGTAACCAAGTTGATCACAAGACTTCCAGCACCTGGAAAAAAATAATTTTAAAACAAGAATGTTTTGAATTATAAAACAGCCTTAAATAGAATGTATTTGACTTGTTTAATGTTAATTCGTAATGCATCCTACAAACAAATATAGAAATTAAAAAAAAAACTCATTGTAAAGACAAGTGAAGAAATATCAATAACAATGACCAACATGAATAATTAAAAACGGTTTTCATGTATACAATTCTTTAAAAAACGTAAGAATATGAAACCAGTTTGATGCAAGGAGTAAAAATAATAATTTTGACATAAAGTTATAAATTATTTTACACAAACAGTTTTTTTTCACTTGATGAGTCAAAATCGTTAAATGTCAATGCAACCCGACAAGCTGAAACTATTATTCTCGTACAAATTCACTATTTTCGTAAAAATTCATTATTTTCGACCTGAAATTTTTTAACCCTAACTCATCACTTTGTAGATGGTCCAAATGTATTGTGTATCGGCAGCGACAGCAAACCAATCGAATATTCTCTAGAAGGTCATTCCAATAGCAGGGCAAATAGCCGATTTGTACTACTGAGGTACTGACTACTAGAAATATTATAGCCGCAGGTACTGACATTCCACCAGTTGGAGACTACGAGAAAGATGATAACCTTAGTTTCTGACATCCATCAGTATGGGAAGCGACCAAGTTGTACTATTTAAGAACTAACCACGAAAAAGATGATAACATTAGGTACTGACATTCCACCAGTTTAGGGGGGTCGATAAAGTTGTACTACTGAAGAACTGACAACAAAATAGATGATAACCTTAATAAGTTTCTGACATTCAACCTGTAGGGGAAGCGACCCACTTGTACTACTGAAGTACTGACCACGAACAAGATGATAACCTTAGGTCATGACATCCATCAATAGGGAAGGCGATCCAGTTGATCCACTGAAGTACTGACTACGAGAAAGATGATAACCTTAGGTACTGACATTCCACCAGTAGAAAAATTGACCCAGTTGTAACACTGAAGTACTCACTGCTAGAAAGATGATAACCTTTGATACTGATTTTCCATGAGTAGGGGTAGCGACCCAGTTGTACCACTGAAGTACTGACTTCGGGAAAAATGATAATCTTAGGGACTGATATTCCACGGGTATGGGAAGCGACCCAGTTGTACCACTGAAGTACTGACTACAAGAAAGATGACAACATCTGAGACTGACATTCCACCAGCAGGAAAAGTGACCAAGTTTTTACTACTGAAGTACTGACTACTAGAAATATGACAACCTTAAGTAATGACATTCCACCAGCAGGAGAAGCGACCCAGTTGTACTACTGAAGTACTGACTACTAGAAAGGTGTCAATCTTAGGTACTGACATTCCAACAGTAGGGGAAGCAACCTAGTCGTACTGCTGAAGTACTGACTACTAGAAAGCTGACAACCTTAGGTACTGACAGTCCACCAGTAGGGGAAGCGACCCAGTTATACTATTGAAGTACTGACTAATAGAAAGATAATCTTACAATTTTAACCAACGTAATCAGACGGAGATCTTTCTGTCAATGACATGTTTAAATGACAATTAGTACACATTTCCTAACTGTATGTTGTCATGCCCCAACAAAAGCTCTGTAAAACACATACTCCAAAAATGCATTTTGAGTTTCGGCATCTTGATAATAATTACCCTCCGACACATTAATGAGACAAAGAACAAAAAATATATAAAATGAAAAGATATTAATTAAAACGAATTTTAGGACCTTGGTTCAGTTGGTTGATTTTAAAACAAGAGGCACTGAAAAGAGACACCCTACAACTAAGCTGTACTTGTGCTAACAGACGTTGAAAATAGTTCTTAAATAGTTAAACGATTCTAGTAATTAGTCTGAGACTAATTCATCAGCAATTTTATTTTCTAAATGACTTTTATTTTTTTTATAAAAGAATCAATGACGGAGCGACAAATTTCTTACAGAAGGTATCAATATGGGACTCATCAAATTAGTACGCCGGAAGATAAAAGCTACGCAGATTGTAAAGTGGTAACGTTTTGTCGGCAATAATGTATTTAGTAGAATGAATTGATATAAAAGCAATTTCTTTTGTAAAGAATGTTATTCTAATTACGACGAGAAACATGGCAATACCGGGAAAATTCGTTTAAACGTTTTGAGAATTTTTCCGTGTTGCTATGGATCATTTTGTATCAGGCGTATCATTTAGTAGACCAGACGTCAACATGAGACACATTAGTGAAACACATTGATAGTTATATTGTTATGTATACCAGATATGATTAAGATTAAAATAATTACCACTATCACTAACACAGCCGAACTGGGATAGGACCTGTTTTGCTTTGATTAAGGTCTGACCTACATCTAAACTGCAGTCAGTTACAACTTTAGTAACACATTCCAGATAGATATTTCCTGCACTGTTTTTAAAATAAACAAAACAGTGAAATAGCATATGAACAAATTTTGATTAGAAAAATAAATATTAATGTTTTAAACATGTACAGCTGTTTTATTAATTTGTGAATGATATACATCTACAGTAGCGTCGAAGTTCTAATTCTTTAACTAAATTTTTTTGTGATAGCTACCTTCATTTATTGAAGATGTAACTGTTTTTCTTTATTCGTCATTTTCATTTCATAGCATGTTATATGTAAATGAAAACGACAATTTTTAATGTAGCGATGTTTAAGTGTGTAAATAATATACAAAGTACTATATAAAACAACATCTGACCTGCATATTTTCTCCTTGTCTAACGCTGCCTGTGTTATTAAGCTCCCTAAGGATGAGACGCAAGATTGCATTTTTGGAGCAGAACAACTCTGTGCTTCCGCTTCTAAATAACGTATAAACAAAAATATTTTGATAGTTTAAAGGACGAAACACATTTCTTCGAGTTTGTTATATTTCTTTTTTTTTTTTGAGTGGTGCGAGTTTGATAAAGTGATGCAAGTTGTAATAATTAGTGAGAGTGTTTGAGTGGTGCGAATTGGCCGTGGGCCGAGTTGTCGGGCAGTTCGTCGACTGAGCATGCGCGAAAGCGTATAAGACACGGATCGATAACGGTCTCCGAATTTAGATATTTTCTCAAAAATTTGCGTTTTCTGTGGAAAAAAGATTGTTTCAAAGACACATTTAGGAAATACAAAACACTACATTTATACGTCATATCACAAATATTTCCGACTTTGCATGGTTTCAGAGGAGTTGCGGCTCAATGAAATCGGTCTCTTCCTTTAGCAGTATAGATGTTGAAAATGACTTTACACATTTTCCCTTTAATATGACTTAAGAACATTTTATGAATAGCCTCACAATGTACAATATTACACACATTGTCATTATCGATATAGAATATTTGGTTTGTACCTTAGATAAATGATGGGATACTAAGGTATAAAGAATAGAGAAAAAATACCTAATGATAGATTAGAGAATACAGAAATGAAGGACCCCCATCCAGAATCTCATATGACAAAAAGGAGATCAACTTAGAACTAGCGCACTCCGTACAGAGAGTTATGACAAGTTTAAAGAAGTTATGAAGGGATGAATCAGATATCTTCAAAAACCTGATATAAAAACACCCACTGACTAAAATATAAGGAGAAAGCAACAACGAAATTCTAAACTTAGTTCACGGATATAGGCATAAGCGGATGTCATGAAGTCTTTTGTTCTAAATAACTTGATAGAAATAACGAAAACCATCTTTGTCAAGTAGAATTATTTTTAAGTGCATTTCAAATATCGCTATCACATGCATCGCCTGTATCAAAATCAGGTGTCACTAGTAGAGCAGAACCCGATAAAACCGATAAATTTTCCGGAGCTCCTGGTATCCCTATCGATTTGTTGCTGGAGTGCTTGTTGTTCAGACTTACAGTTTTATATAGTGTTCTGTAGAATGTTGTCTGTCTTTTCATAATTTTTCTTTTTGGCAACGGAATTGTGTGACTCTCTTTGACTTATGGCTTTTGATTAACCCATTGGTGTATTCTACCTAACTCTTAATACTTTTTTAAATAACAGATTTCAGTCGAAAATAAAGGTAGTTGTTGATAAATTTTGTGACGGAAAAAATGTGAAGGCTTTATTCATTCATTTGAAAATAAACTATCACTGTTAACCTATTCCGGCTTTTAACGTTTAAACTGTTGAAATGTTCCAAACTCCTTAATAAGATATTTAGTGCAGCTAGTCAGAGGGTTGTTGCTCCGCGTGAATCCCGGTATGCAAAAGTAAAACATAATATAAAAATAAGAAGATGTTGTAAAATTGCCAATGAGACAACTCTCCATCAGGAACCAAATGACATAGAAGATTTATTAACAACTACATGTATAAGTTATCGTACGGCCTTCAACAATGAGTAAAACCCATACCGCATAGTCAGCTATTAAAGGCCCCGAAATGACCCGAAAGTATGACAGAGAAGTTTTATCACTGCTCATTGTTTAATAAGAATAGTGTACATGCAATCAAATAGAAACTTTTAAAAATTGGTTAGAGCCAAACAAATAATGAACTTAGAACCATTTTATACTACTTACGAAACTTAAGTTAACATATGTGCTTCTTTTCTTACAGTTGAACTATTCAAAGAGTTATGTAGTGTGAGGATTGTATCTTTACATAAACAGTAGTTATTTTTATGAGAAACGTATATACAACAAAGATCCTACGATGCGAAGAAACACACTGATGCTTATACATGTAACTAATTGACAGTCGGTATTAAAAAAGGGTCAAATTGTACCCCTATAAACCTCCTTAGTACCTCCCTATAAACCTAATTAGTTTGTATTCTCATCACAATTATATTATTTATTTGGTCAAACCTTCAGGACGAACGATTATAGTCAGTAGTTTAAATTGTACATACTTTTATTTGGACAAACCATCAGGACGAACGATTATAGTCAGTAGTTTAACTTGTGCATACTTTTATTTGGACAAACCATCAGGACGAACGATTATAGTCAGTAGTTGTTAGTTGTACATACTTTATTTGGATGTGAATGGCTAAACATGTGTGTTATGTAAAAGATCAACCAAAGCAAACATACACACACACGCGCCATGTAGGAATATATATAATGTATGCAACAACAACAAAAAACAGGAATCAACAACAGAGATGACAAAATTGCAAAAAAAATCAACAACAAAGACCTATAAACAATCATGGTAAGGATATCTCGTTTGAACGCAAATATTGTATTTGAAATCCACGGTAATATTTAATGAATGGGACGTTTAGATAGTTATAAGTTATTCTTCACTTGCATAAAATTTGTATTCACCTATGTACAAAAAATGTAATTATGTAATTAAAATACAATTTATACAAACATTTGATAACAGCAATAACTAACAATCAAATAGCCCATGTTTGGAAATATTACGGTGTTTTTAATAACCACAATCCTATAGAATTGGATATTTCATTGACGGTCTTTTAATTTTATGTTCTCAAATGTGATTAATCACGTTTACTCTGAATAAAAAGAATCTTTTTGTTTTGCTTTCCCAATAATAAGGACGTAATCAGAAAGAGGAGATTGACATTAGAATGGACTGCAAATAAATACAAGAAGAAGTTGGAATTTTTTATCAATGAGACATGCAGCAAACCAAATGAATGCCAAAGGGCATTTAAAGGGTAATAAAAAAAATTTTTTTTTAGTCTCAGATAAAATTGAGAATGGAAACGGGGATTATGTCAAAGAGACAACAACCTGACCAAAGCGCAGAAAACAGCCGAAAGCTACCAATGGGTCTTCAACACAGCGAGAAAATCCAACACCCGGAGGCGGGCTTCAGCATGTTGTTTTAAGTAGTTGTTATAGGCTTTGAACAGCTGTAAGTAACTGCTAGTACTCTCAGATCTGTACTTGGTGTCTTTTTTGTCGTGTCTGTGCTTTTGTTAGATGTCTTTCTGCTTTTTGTAGATCAGATGAGTTAAGCCCTTTTCAACTGATTTTTATAGTTCTTATGTTGTAGTTACACCACTATACCAGGTTGGGGGGGGGGGGGGTTGACATATCCCCTTCCATCACTTTGGCAGAGCCATTCCAATTTTGTTTGCATTCATAAACTCTTGCTAAATCCCCTTTCTTTTTAGCAGATTCACATATTCTTCACCTGGAAACCCTCTGTGTGGGATGAAGAATTTTCTTTGTTTTTTTACCAATGAGGGTTGCAACACCTTAAGAAAAATGCAAACATACAATTTATTCATTACAGAAATCCATATTTTCAACTGTTTAGGAGTTATGATCCTTGAAATATTGACGTTTTTGTCTAGCCTGCGTCTTTTGTAGCAGAAAACTCGGTATATGGATAGTGATCGGGCGGAGGGGGTTAAGGCGGCAGTGTTAGCTAACTTCTTAAAAGCTTAATATTTTAGAAGGAGGAAGATCTGGATGATTCATAATTAGTATATAATAGATGTCTTATGTTACGAAGTTTCCGTCTGTCACATGTCCATTGTCCTTGACCTCATTGTCATGGATCAGAGACTAATTGAAAAATAAGTAAAGATTTTTTGTTATGTTAATTTCTCTCTTATTATGAATAATAGGTTAACTATATTTGGTATGTGCGTACCTTGCAAGGTCTTAATACCCGTCACACAGTTTTCACTTGACCTCGACCTCATTTCATGGATCAGTTTTGGTGGTCAAGGCATATCTCAGATAATATAAGAAATAGGTCTATAATTATATTTGGTGTATGAAAAGATCCAAATGGCAGGTGTCATCTGACCTTGACCTCATTTTCATGCTTCAGTGGTTATAGTTAAGTTTTTGTGTTTTGGTTTGTTTTTCTTATACTGTATGCAATACATGTAGGTCTTCTATATTTAGTGTATAGAATGATTGTAAGGTGTTCATGTTCAACTGGTAGGTGTCATCTGACCTTGAACTCATTTTCATGGTTCAGTGGTCAAAGTTAAGTTATTGAATTTTTGTCTTTTTTTCTAACTGTATGCAATAGGTCAACTGTATTTGGTGAATGGAAATATTTTATGATGCACATGTAGGTCTGGCAGGTTTTATTTGACCTTGACCTCATTTTCATGGTTCATTGCTTAGTGTTTAATTTATTTGTTTTGGTCTGTTTTTCTTAACTATAAGCGATAGGTCAACAATATTTGTTGTATGGAAGGATTGTAAGCTGTACATGTCTGCATGGCATGGTTCATCTGACCTTGACCTCATTTTCGTGGTTCATTGGTCAATGTTTAGTTTTCTTGGTTAAGTGTGTTTCTTAGAAACAATAGACAATAGGTAAACTATATTTAGTATATTGAATAGTTGTAAGGTGTACATGTATTTCTCGTTTGGTTTATATGAGCTTGACATCATGTTCTTGGATCATGTTAAGTGTAAGTTATAGTTGTAGAAAAGCTTTCTATTTAGGACTATCAACATAATATCAATGGTTAGTAAAGAAGGCGACATTTCAGCGTGTGCACTCATGTTAGACCAACAGATGTAAACAAGAACTTGTTTACTGTCATACTTACAGCTCTTGTTTTCAATTATGGCAGAATATGCATTATTTTAATAAAATACTTTTTAGGTTACCAGACAGACTATTGTATGATACCCCAGATCCTTTCTTCTGCCAACATTTGTCAGTGGAAACAATAATCCCATTATCTAACCTATTCTCTTCAAAATCAGCATCTCCTTCATAATAAAAAGTCGGACAAAAGTTTTACACAAAAGTGCATTTTATAAGTAAAACCATAACTTTATTGACTAGACTCAAGCTGGCAGCCACTTTTAGCAGCCAATCAAGATAACAGCCACTTTTTTCCAGCAGCCAATTTTGATGATATGTCTA